CTACATGGTCTTCTGAGAGGAGTGCCCACCACAATAGCTGAGAGAGACAGAAGGGAGAGGATGAAGGTGGAGATGGGGGTGGTGGAAGGGTAAGTGGTAGGGAGTGTGGCTGTTCACGGCTTAGCTTGGGGTAAAGAGAGGCGGAGGAGATGTGACAAGTCGTGACAGTGCTGGAGAGGACTGTGGATGTGAAGTAGATGAATATTATTATATAATTCAAACAGCACTGGTGAACAAGTGAGATTCTATTAGGGTTCTTAGGGGTACTGAATGATGCTGCCATTAGAACTGACAGGTCCCTGACAGGTGACAGGGGCCATACACATCAGTTAACAGTATACATAGGTTTCACGCATTGGTAACCAGATAATTAAAAACACACCAATCCACAAAAAAAACAAAACAAATACAGCCAAAACTATTTTAAAAAGTCTGAAACTCAAGAAACACATGGATTTAAACAACACATTTTCAGTAGCCTATGATGAATATGAGTGTTTATGAGTTTGATTTTCAACAAAAAGGTGAGAGTGACTAACTGAAAAACTGTTGGCTGACAAGCTAACTTGTGACTCTAAATGTATTTGAGAGAGACGTGTTTAACAGCACAAATCAGCTCACCTGTTATAGTTCCAGCTAAGTCAGTTCTTTCTGGTGAGATTGTGTTAAACAAAGCTCAGATTAAAGTCTAACTTGAGTGACAAAGCCTCAGACACAGTTGGCATCACGCCCAGCTGCAAAGTATCAATTTAGGCTCTTTATTAGCATGTACATTGTGCTTTAATATGACAAATGATATAGCTTTTCACGTGTTTCTACTTGCTTTGTTTGGGAGGACAACACCTGTATTACATAATCAAAAAGTTTAAAATTATAACTAACTAAAAGGTGTTGCCATATATTTTAATTTGTTGTCAGTATGACTGCAAGGTAGTTTTACCTCTACTCACGTTACGTCTGTTGCTTAACTAAACTAAAATGATAAAATTGTCAAAATATTTTATTTCGCAAAGTGAGTAGTCTAACCTATCATATGCACTTTAGGTCTATCTATGTTTAACCCCATGGCACAGATGATTCAGGTTACTTTAATGCATTTTAAACTGTGAGAAAAAATACCTGATAATACAGTTGCTACATGATAATACACTGATCTGATGGAGCCCTGGGCCTTTTCTCACCATTTCAAAGCCTTATCAAAGCACTGCTGCTAACTGCCTGCCAGGTTATGTCACTGCCCAGAGCAATACTGCGGCTTGCTCCCAATCACATTCATGTCGGCAGGTTGAGGCTGGAAACACAACACATTTCCCATGATTCCTGCCACTGCTGTTAGCAACCTCACACGTGCACACGCGTTCAAACACACAACCAAGCCCTGATTTATACATGTTTAATGAACGCAGGCGAGGAGAGGAGGGCTACCAAAAGGCCTCAGAGAGCAAGCAAGTAGACATCAAAATAAAGTCATATTATAGGAAGAGGAGGAGAATTTCTTCCATCTATCTTGGTAAAGTGTGTATCACTCTAGGTAACCAGGTTGGAAACAGTTTCTAAAGTGGTAGTAGTAATAGTAGTAGTAGTAGTAGTAGTAGTAGTAGTAGTAGTAGTAGTAGTGGTGGAAGTAGTGGTAGTAGTGGTAGCAGTGGTAGCAGTGGTAGCAGTGGTAGTAATAGTAGCGGTGGTAGTGGTAGTAGTAGTGGTGGTACTAGTAGTAGTAGTAGTAGTGGTAGCAGTGGTAGTGGTAGTAGTGGCAGTAGTAGTAGTAGTAGTAGTAGCAGCAGTGGTAGCGGTAGTAGTAGTAGTAATAGTATTTAGTAGTTTTGTTTATTTTTCCTATTATAATTCAATTGCAGTATGATACCAGTATGGCCTATTACAATTCTTCATGCAGTAATTAATATATTGTTGACAGATTTAGTACTTGCTTGCTATTAACCAAATACACATAAAAGCTCAGACAACTTCAATCACTTACAAGCTAATAAAATATAATAGAATAAAAAAATAATGACAATGAGGAAAAATATCTGACCGATACAATTTAAACTGACAGCAAAATGGAATCAAGCATCAGAAAAATGACACTGTGAGAATGATCAGTAATTTGGTAGAGTAGGTGTTGGGGGGTATACACCAGGGTCAGATAATAACAGGGAGGAGGAGGGGGAGAGGCTAAAGATAGAGGGAGAGAAAATGGCCGTAATTGGAGGTGTCTGGTGTTTGTCTAACAGAGTAGTAATGATTCCATTAGCGGCTGACTCCGACAGAGAGCGAGAGGGAGGCAGGACGCTGGGACAGACTCTATAGGAATCAGTGTTAGCATCAGAGCAGCCACACAAAGGGATCTGAGGGTGCTATTAAAAGCCTTGTTCACCTGCACAATAGTGATAATTACAAATGCCCCCTGCCATCCTTTCTTCACCTCAGCACCTCTATATAGCGCTGTGTTTAAATGCATTAGGTGAGCTTGAGTCCCCCATGTATGACCTTTAGACTGTGTTAATAAGGATGGTGTCTTTGGTTGAGCTACTGTCACACAGACATTTACAGTGGCTCTAAATAATTATAATTGTTTAATGCATTAACATCGCTGTATCAGTGATTTGTAACCGCATATTGTCCAAGATCAAGGTTTAAATAAGCCAGTATATCAATTTATTGTTCAGTACATGACAGATTGAACAATATTTTTGCAGGTCAGTATTTATCATGGGGAGTTTTTCTTTGTACTAGTGAAAACGTTTAGTTATTTTTCTATTATATGATTAAATTTGAGCTGTAGAAGGTTGAATTATGAACTTCTATGACTTATTATAGCCACAATCTAATTACTTGCATTATTTATTTATTGCTGTTTTTAACTTTTTAACAATATTGTGCATTTGGAACATTTTTGTGGATAATTATGCAAAATTTGCTATTGTGACAGGCCTAGTCAGTGTAACTAATGTAACTCTTTATTCATTACTGGTCCATGATAGAAAATGTTTAGTAATCTGGACAGTGTTTTTGAAATTGAGACATTTTGGACATTGGCGATCTGAAAGTACAGGTCTAGGGAACTAGAATTTATAAGAAATAACATGGTATGGAACACTTTAACCCAGAAATGTAATTAAACATTGAGATATATATGTTATGGGCAATAGACTGTAACAAATGCTGAGTGATTTAGCCATAAACCTCGAAATAGTAGTTTTTTGCCAGCTGGTCAATTAGACTGCATGTCACATAATAATTTTTTTTTTTTTTTGGTTGGATTAAAATTACTACAGGGTATCAGAAAATAACAATGTAGTAAAATAGAACTATTATAATTCCTCATTAAAATATAAGCAGCATTCTATAAGAACAACTTCCAACAAAATATGTACTATAAATGAATGCAAATCCTTCTTAATATCAACAGCGAATTGCGTAGGTGTTGCACACTTCCCTGCAGCTAAGCGTTCATTACTAAGGGATTACAACCTTTTGTTTTTACTCTTTGAAAACGTCCCTTACTATGCTAATGATACCACGCAATTGTTCATCCACGGCTTGTGCTGACCATAAGTTATTGCTGCAGACACATAAATCTGAGGACCTCTGACCCCACCCTGTCAGGAGGACTCCATCAGTACCCCTGCACACACGCAGACAAGCCGGACCTTATTGAGTTGATGCTAGCTTGTTAAACATGCTTACATCGCTTTATTTATCCTCTGCGGGGAGATAAGACTTGCTGAGCAGACTGATGAGGTCATAGGGGGGTCATAGGTCAACCCTTTTGCAGTGTCGGATTGACCCGATAAACTATAAAGAGAATCAACCTTAAGCGTGACATGTTATTTTACGAGGCGCACTTGTTTTTCTTAATTGAGATGCAGCCTGAGTCCCACCGCAATCTGTGCACATTCTACCAGTATGCAAAGTCTGCTGGGTACAGCTTGTTCCGATTCGCTTTGTCTCCAAGGCCCAAGTGCCAAGTTTTCTAGGCGTCTGGGTGCTGCTTTTCCTCCAAAACAACTGAAATTGCATTATGCCCCAAGATTTTGAAGTTTGCAGTGATGAATCTGGGAAGGCGTTTTCTTTTTCTGGGAGGAAGTGAGCCCGTGGGGACAGGTGAGACGGTGCTAGGACTCTATTACAGCTTGCTCACTCAAATTCATGCCGCCATAGAAACGAACACAAAAAAGGCAGCACACACGCAGGGTATGCATGCTGTCAGTAGAGGTTTATGACTCAATAATCTTTCTCCCATGGCAAATGCACATCAATAGGCACTTTTTCACACACATACCTCAGCACTCAGGGCTTAGTGAGAAATAAAATATTCAGCCATGACACAAACATTCAAAATAAACAGGAAATCCAGCAGTTTTTAAATGGAATTGCACACAGACCACAATTTGATGCAAAAAGAACAGCTGTGATGTAAATGGACAATAGTGCTCTCAGTCCTGTTTCAATACCACACCACAGGTATTGCCTTTATACCTTCATGTTATGCTCACCCTGGCCTTACTCAGAGGCAGCTGCATTACAATGTGTCCAAAGCTTCTACAGTGTTGAATGGCAGTTTCCATTATGGCATTGCAGACAAACACAAGGTTAAGAACATTTTCTCTTTTCATTATATAACTGTTAAGCTATATATAATAGCTGTATTTGAAGCTCCATGGAATCAAAGCTACTAAAATACAAATGCAGTCTTAAACACATAAGAGCTGGTTTTGCTCCTGTCTCTACAAAACATTCATTTGAAATTGTTTTATGATAATGAATAACAGAATATTTATATATAGTTTGATAGCTACTTGAATGACTAAAAGCAAATTCAATTCATGTTGGACTGTAACGTTTCTAGACACAAATGTTTTTAGAAGGCTAGGCTGTAAATGTAAGTTGTCACTAAAGGCCAGACAGTTCAAGAGTATAATAAAGTGTACTTAATATAACTAGATTAAAAAAGTGGATTAAAACACAAATCTGAACATCGCGTCTCGTTTACTTACGCTGGCAGACATCCTTGTTTTCCTCAAAGCCGGGCTTGCACACACACCTCCCGATGGGCACGAGCCAGCCTCCATCTGCGCTACAGTACATTTTGGGCGCCTCGAACTCCTCCGAGGCGTTCACACACACTCCGTGCACCTCCACCAGAGCTGTATCTCCGCCCGTGATGGTGTCTGGGAACTGCGCCAGGTTCAGTACAGTCAAGGGGCACTTCTTATAAAAGACCCTCACGGACACAAGGGCAATGCAGGCACCCAGGTCCTGGAAGGCCAAGTAGAAGCCCTTCTTATTGAGGTTGCTGATGTCCCGCACCTCTGTGTTCAGCTTCATCACACGGTCGCCCACGTCCACCTGCAGACAACAGCAGAGCATTTGTAATGTACAACAGGGGAGCAAATGGGGACAATTGTATTTTTAAAAACATGTCTAAATGTGTGTGGATGTAGAACCGTGGAGCAGCAGCAAGTATGAGTAAGCCATGAAATTAATCTTTTTGGAAATTCTACACTCAGACTTACAAGTACAGTAAAATAAGTTTGAAAATAAAACTTTTCAAACTAATTATTTTTCTTGGCATCATTGACTTCCTCTATGAATAGCACTTGCTGTTAGGTTTATATCACATTGCCAAGGAACTTTTAGTCTAAATTTTAAAGAAGCATAATTGAATTTAAAAAAGAAATCCTGATCTCCAGAGCTTTTTTTAATCATATGGTATTTTCCAAAAACATTACATGACATACTTTAATGTAGTAATAGTTGTTCTTTGACTACTGTTCTGTAACTGATTTACATCCATACCTGTGTAAAACTCTCATCTGCAGCGATGGTGTCTATCTTGACGTACTGACTCTCTTTGATGAACCACAGGTTGGGATTGTTGGACTCATAGTAGTACATGTTGAATGTCTGCAAGAGAAAGCACTTGTCAAAGTTATGAAATTGAAGTTATCAGACAAGGCCTAAAGTGGACAATGTAAAGCGTAGGAGACAATGGGAACAAGTATCAATCCAATGTGATATATTTTCTGCAGTTCTGATCCACTGCCTCTCCTGCTTCTCAGCCCATCTGTCTGTATGGCCAGTGAGCCGCATTCAAACTCCAGAGTGTGTGGAGCTCATTCTGCAGAAGTAATGAGAGCGTGGAGTGGCAGGGGGCACTCTCAGATGGTCAAGTGAAAACTGAGAGCTGCGGTACCACACAGATGAGAGACTGGACATTACAGTCAAAGTGATAGTCAAAGAATTGTGAGTCTAAAGGTATTTGGAGATGTGCATTTTTATGTATTTGGTATTAATTTGGGTTTTGTTTAGTTGGGGGAAAAGTATATGTCTGTTTTTTTGTTTGTTTGTTTGTTTGTTTTATTAGTGCCATGCAACACACTAATGCACACATCTTTTATGTAAATTCAACTCTGTTTCAAACTTTCAATTGTCTTATTTAACCTGCCAAAAGGAGATTTTTTAAATATTTTAGAATCATACCACAACATGTTCAGGCAAAGATATGATAAGCCACTTAACAATACAATATCCAAGAGTTTTTTGCCTTCAACCCAAGTATCACTATGTCTAATCATTATCTGTGTTTGATATGGTTAATGTCCCAAAGAAAATCTAACCACTTATTTGATCAGTTGCTAGCCTCTGACAAATGTAATATAACAGTAGCCAGCGTGTGATTGTGTGCAGACCTCTTTGCAAGTGCCAGGCACTCCTGGAAGGCTGTTACAGTCCCTCAGAGTGAACTTGATCTCGATGTACACTCTCTGTGCTCCCTCTCTGCTGATGTGCCGCGTCCTCAGCCAGTTGTTCTGGTTCGCCTCCATCACGTTACACACCTGGTAGGTCCGCATAGGCGTGTTCCTCTCGTCCATGACACTGATCTCTTCCCACTGAGGAACACAAAGTCATGTTATAGACAGCATGAAATGTACTACTGTCACACAAAATAGCAGCAGAAAAAATGCACGGGCTTGTCACTCCACAGATCTGACCTGCTTGCCTACATTGTGATAAATTAATGCCATACTGTGGAGACAAGCAGGTGATAGACCCTTAAGAAAAGTTACACAGTATAACTTTAGCAAATACTGTATATGTTTTAAGTGTACTGGTTCCTGGATGGCCTTACTGTTATTCATTCAGTTGACTAAGTGATGCTTGCAAGGGAATTCAATAAATGCAAGGCCACTTGGACATGAGAGGCTCCAAAAGATTGTTCATCGTTGGTGTATAAAGAATATCTCGAGACTTGCAAGTGCTCATGGGAAACAGGCTCCAGTGAAGTGCGCATTTTTCTGTGTTGAAAAAGCATTGCGTGTCTGTTTGATTATGAGCGATGGTCTGTGTCATAGTGACTGAAGGACTGCCTTTGTCTGTGTGCACAAATATATTTTCCTAGAGTCAATGCGATATTCAACACTTCTATAGGAGTTTGTGGTCTGAAGAGAAGCCAGAGAACAAGGAGGACTAGGCAGGACAGAGCTACTTTGTCTGCCGTCATCTGCTGCCATCTGGTTCCACTTCTGAATATGGGCCAGTAATTGAGAACACTTCTTGCACCAGGAAAACATTTCAGTCCACACACCAACCACACACGCACACACACCAGCCACACACACACACACTTAAACATGAAGACATACCCTAGACTTAAAATTGCATACAGCACAAATCCAATTTCACTGCCTTAAAAAAGGAAAATAAACGGTTGCGGTTTCAATGTCTTCTGATCCACTTAAAGGGAAGCTAGCTGGATCCTGCTAGAGACACACGCAAAATTCTCTACAGCTGTACGAAGGCACAAAAGCTCTCAATTGTGGTCAAACTTGAGTGGACCACCATCTTTGCTCCGAGCTTTCTGTCATCATGCTAAGACTGAAGCTTTAGGATGCATAGAGGTGAGCGCATCTCGTCTTTCGGTCACTGAAAAACATATGGACACGAGTGCACCTGCCATGACCACACACTTCTAAAATTAAAATGCCAAATTATAGTATAACAAAGGCAACTATGCAATGACTGCTGCTATAAAAGGTTAAAAGAAGCTAGTTGTGTGTGGTTTTGTGATCCTAATCTGATGTGATGGTCCAGCAGCGCAGCAAAAGCATGTCACATTTCACCTTCAAATCCAGTGTTCTTAAACAGAACTGCCCGGCCTTCTTCTTTGCAAGCTCTCTTGATTATAATCTCTATACGTGGAACCACAGCCTCCACTGTGTAGGCCTGCCCAAAGCCCTCTTGATCTTGACCCAAGCACTCTGCCATGAGAAAGAGAGGAGAAAGGGAGCTGGGGCTGCACTCGGCTGGAATAAATGTCACTGACAACCTATTCAGTTACATAATGAGTGGTTCAATGACAATTTTACAGGCAAAAGCAACTTGGTGCATGCAAAAGTAAAGTGTAACCACATTTCAGCCCTTGTTTACTTCTGTTTTAACTAGAGCCCGACCGATATATCGGCTGGCCGATATTATCGGCCAATATGGGCACCTGGAGACATATCGGCTATCGGCCGATATGCTTGCTGATATGGGTCGATATTTCACGTGGGCATGTTATACCTCGTTATAAAGCTTAGACTCTCTACATTATGTTCATTTAATCCAATTTACAGACAGATAAATGTCCTAATATGTGGCTCCGCATCAGTATTTATCTATGGTGTAATTGGTCTGTGTCTGTGTCCGTACTGTCCCTGAACACACCACCAGAGTGACGTCACTTCACTCGCGTGCGTTTACACCCGCAGCGGTGCGCAACACTGAGATTATATTCTTTTTCGGACAATCGGTTTGAGTCTGGATTAAAAGGACATTTATTAGTGCAGACTTGTGATGTGAGGAGGAGCCTGTGTGAGCGGTGAGTGTTGGAAATACATCGACTTTGAAGCTAGTTTAGGTTTTGTTAGCGATTAGCTGCTGTAGCTCCCACACATAAACAGGCTGTTTTCTATTGGTCTATTGTAAAGTGATTATATTGGCCATATATTTACTACTGGACCTGCATTGATATGTAAATGAGCTGTGAATAGACGTGTGAATGATTCACATTTATGCATATATTTAATTACCGCGGTGCGCACGTTTTTATGGCTAAAGCCTAATAGCGCTAGTTTACTAGCTAGGAGTTACGAGTGAAGAAGAAAGATAGAAACCGAGTCCCGACACTCAGTCCTGGTTCAGTTCTGGTTTAGTCCTGCTTGCAACAAAACAATGTCAAGAGTCGCTTGGGAGCCGAAAGAGCCAGCTGCTTTAGTGAGCCGAGCCGGTTCTCCAAAAAAAAAAAAAATGGAATACCCATCACTAGCAGTGACAGTAACAGTAGCTAGAATGTGATGCAAAAATGCCATTAGGCCAATCTACTGTATGTAAATATGTTGTAAAGAGTCAAAATAACAATAAATGTTGCCTAAACCCAATTTAGAATCCACTAGAGCCAAACCTAAGTTTTTTAATCAATTCAAGATTTACAGTGAATTTTTACATCACTAAATATATCGTCGATTATATCGACTATCGGCAGCTCCAACTCCCATTATATCGGTTTCATATCGGCCACAACAAAATCCATATCAGTCGGGCTCTAGTTTTAACTGCTATTATCTTGGTTTTAGGCATGAAATATGGGGTTTTCATTACCTAGTTCAGTCCTATTCGACATTTAGTCCAGGTTTAGTCCTGCTTTATGTCTAAATTATTTGTTCAGTAATCCTCTGTGCTACATTAGTATCAATCTTGCTTAAATCCAGTCTTAGCATTGTTTAAGCTGAGTTCAACTAGTTTAAGTTTTAGTTAGTTCCAGTATTGCCCTTGCTCAGGATTGTCAAAAAAAAAGAAAAGAAAATCATCACAATTTCAACACCCATTCATTTTCAGTCTCATTAAGCAACACTTTTTCTCCACATTGTTCCATATTTTTTTTCCTTGGTTTTGACCTGTGTAGGCCCATGATTACTTTAGTCCAATCTACTTGGAAAACCAAATATTTTCGGAGGTGGTGCGTAGAACTGAGAAGAAAATGAATGTTTAGAAATTACGAGCACCGCGTCTGGCAGCTAAACGGACCCATCTGTGCAGAGCTGAGACCAGTCGGACATCACAGGACGTCTCACACACACACACACACAACCAGGTCCACGGGGAGTGGTGATTAAGGCAGTTATGGGAATAGTCATTGAGGGATAAAGGGAGCTTTATGATGTCTTTGTTTATTTCTTTGTGGGCCCAGTTTGGAGTGGCTGGATTACTGCCACTTACTGTGCTATACGACTTGGTGCTCTAGTTGGCAGGGCTGTTCATTGTCACTTGAGCGTGTCCTAAAAGAACAGGTGTGTTGTTAGAGTCAGAATCTTCAGATATAGGAAGTAGGTTATGTGTTTGTTGGGTTATACTGTACTTTGTACTTTTCAGGGGATGGCCGAGCCAAAATAACTTTTATTTGTCTTAAGAATATTTTCCTAAATACCCTTCTTACACTGAAGTTAGTATGAAATAATGAGATGTGGGTAAAGACCTAAACCTGAAATAATTGTTGAATCCAGCTCTGAAGTCAAACATCAGTGACATTATCTGATATATATTTTATTTGAGTAAAGTCCTATGAGCATGGGTATGAAGAGGGATGTCAAAATATATACAATTTTTGTGTTGCAATTATTGTGCTTTAACAGTTCTTAAAAACGCCCTAACAAAGGTGAAATCCATAATTTACTTTCATTCACATTGTCTAATTGATGTCCATTCTTGAAAGATTCATCTTCCTGAAAGATAATGAAAGAAGATGATGATGAAGATGAAAGAGAATATGACAAGAACAGTCAGATAAAACGCACTTCACATTTAGGTAGATTTTTTTCACTGCAAGAAAGCTGCATAATGTAAAAACTTGAGCAATGCTTTGTGCATCAATGGATTGTAACCAGAAAAGAACATTTGAATTGGACATTGTAACAAAAGTGACCTCTGGCATGTAAGAAAAAAAAAAAAACTTGTTGTCAGTTAATATGTTGACATTTGTGTTGGCGGGCTCTAATTAGCATGTAGAAAATAAGCCCACTCTCCTGAACCCTCAATCACCTCAGCCAATCAGCATGCAGCTCGCCTGATTGCTTTGAAGTGAAGCAGAGATGTCGAATCAGTCTAAGTTCAACCAGCTTAGCATAAGATCCCTGCTTTTGCAATCACCCAATGGCTTCACCTATGAGGATAATTGGCCTGCGAAGTCTGGAATGGCTTTAGCGGTGACAAGAGCAGAAGTTGAACACAGAGAGACCAGGGAGGGGGCGTCCATGTTGAAGCATCATTAGATCGTATCTGTTTTATGTCCCTCACTGGGAACACCCCCGGCCAGTGACAGAAGTGGGTCGCTCTGCCCGTCTCCACCACATCCGCCGCTCGGCATGGCTCGGATTTAAGATGACCTCAGGGGTCAAGTGTGGGTTTGGGATAATTCAGGTAGACAGTGGTCTGTGATTGGTCCGAATTGGCTCTTGTTTAGCCCAATCTGTGGTTCTAAATGTGAAAGGTCAAATAGATAATCCCTCCTTAAATGAAACTTCAGAACGACTAGTCGTGTCACCAGCCTTTTTCAGCTGCTGCTCTTTCTGCCCCCCTCAACTCAACTATGGAAATATTTTGACAGATATCATTCTGTGTTTTGACATAATTTTAAACAGTTTCAGGTCAAGATGTCATTCTTGCAAGATACTATTTTGAGATAATTTTCAAACAATCTTACAAATTGATCTTATGTGTGCTGAGTGTGTAATAGTATCCTTCAATATTAAAGCTGCACTGTGTAACTTTTCCACTCTACCAGAAAAGTTACAAGGTGCAACTTTAATGAGCATTAAGTGTTTTGTGGAATGTGACCAACCACAAGCCATTTTCTCATGTAGGCTAATAGCTTTCTCACTTTCATGTTCCTCAAGAGTCAATGACAACAAAGATGAAAGCCCAGACTTAACCAGCTTTATTAAATATAGCAATTTCCATGTCCAGATTAGGCAGCTGATATAGTTAGTGCTGGAACAAACATGGGGAAGCCCTTGTCCCTTGTGTCTTTATCAGTGTGGCTTGTTAGTGGCGCTAACTGTGGGAAAATACAATCCCATGATTCTAATGATACCTGCTGTTTAGTTTTAGAATTTCTTACTCTTCTTCTGAACTTACAGCATTGGAATGAGCACAGAATCATTAGTGAATACTTCAGTAGCTTTTATTGAAATTTCACATTTTTGTTGCTGTTTATGTTTTTTGGGGAGCCAAGCTTAAGTGATCATTGAGTCTTTACTAGGCCTGTCATGATAGCAAGTTTTGAAGCATGATAAACTGATACAGAGATTTACTGCACTAAAAAATCATATTGAAACTACTTTATGGCCCTGATACAATGACAATAATGCAAGGTAATCCTTGTAAACCATAAAAAAATACAGTATCCTTAATTGGCATGAGCTGCCACAAATAACATGATGAACCAATAATTACCCATATAATTCACTTATTCAAACTTTTACAGCTCAGATTTCATTGTATTACAACAAAACATACCCCAAATATCCCCACTTTCCCAAAGAAATTGTACACACAATAAACTTGGAGCCTCAAAATATATTATTCCAGCTCACATATATAGCGATAAGTCAATATAGTAATCATCATGACAAGCCTAGTCATTACAAATAATAATACAACTGCTATAGGATTTCACTGTCTGGATAAAACTGATGGCTGCACTGTTCTTCAAATACAAGTCGCAATACTTTATAGAATAAAGTTTATAGTGTACTTTGACCTCCACTTTTGATGATTTATGATGAGAAACTTTAGAAACTGTAAAACTGACACTATTCACTGCTATGACCTTTTAAGAAGTTTGTGAATTTACAATGCTGCAAAGTTTTTTACTATTTTGAAAAGAGGGCTATTACAAAAACCTGTGCTACATTTTTCACTCAAAGTAAATCTGGCATTGTACACTGGAAACTACAACATTTACAGTTTATGCTTCAGGACTTCAACAGCCAAACTTATACCACATGTTTTGCCTTTGTCCATGCACAAGTTCATTTTTCCCATAAATAAAATGCGATTGACCCTCTTAGGCACAGATGGAAAGGATTCTGTTCTTCTGAAAGCACCTATGCAATCAAAGGCAAATAAACACGCTGTGGCGGCACAATCAGACCATGTCAGTTACGTGAACTTGATATCCTTGAATGGCTCCACACTGTAGCCCTGTTTCCCCACTGCGCCCAAACCATGAAATACTGTGTGGCATCCTGCGATTTACCACAGTATATAGTATAATGGTGCAATGGAAGTGTGACTCAAGGGGCAATAGAATTAATTCAGATCTATTCAACGGTTCTAGTGCAGGACTGACATACAGAACGAGCTCTTATTTATGCCTTGAATGCTTTGGGCTTCCTTTCTCTTGTTGTGATATGGCTGAACTCCCTCAACCCCTATACCTGCGAAAGGGCTTCTTATGCAACCCTCTCAGAGCAGCACCAGTCTACATAAGTTACATAAGTGATATTTAGTCCTGCGTCCTCCTTTGGTCTAGCCCCCAAAATCTGTGACCCGTGAATAAACGCTCTCTCCCATGGCACAGCGTTTTCAGCACACTGGAAATAATTTGTAAATTCCCAAGTGCTGAATCCCAGTTTAGACCGCAAAACAAGTAAGGGCTGCCTGAAAACTACTTCTGCCTCTCAGATTCAAGAGCTGTTTAATGGCCTACACATGTTGTTTGTAATTTTATGCTTTACTAAATTGGGGAATGATGATATGGCAATAAAACTGAATTGTGACCTGTTAAGATATGCTACAGTATTTGATAAATTGTCATATTATTATTACAAACTTTTCTGTTAATATTAATGTTTCTTTTAAGGCAACTCTATAGTCAAACAGACACCTGAGTGACATTTAATTGGATTTAACTAATTACAGTGAAATGTGAACTTTCAGAAAAAGTTATTTATTTATTCCTTCAAGGAAAAATAAAGATACTGATGGCATATTATGAACTGTGTTAAAATTGTAATCTGGCTCCAAGAAAATCTGTCACAATAAAAAATTTGGAAGTACATTATATCGCTGAAGTAAAATAGATGATAAAGAATAATACTGAAACCAAACCATAAAGCAGAATTATCCCCCAAAAGTATTCTAAGTGCACAATATTGTTAAAAAAACATGAGCTGCAATGGCAAAATGCAAGACTTTAGTAATAAGATGGTATACTTCCAACTTATACAAAGAAAAAAGTACTCAGGATAAATATTAGGATAAATTATTGTCCCATCTGTCATGTTTTGAATCATAATTTGATATAGTATTTAACATGACAGGCTTATTCATGATATAGATTTTTTGCACATCACCCAACTCTATATGTTAAAATATGATAAATGAATATTGTACTGATAATAATGGCACAGTTGCATGACACTTTTTCTTCTTTTTGCGCATTACTCTGTTCATCCAGAGGGTTTATTACATTTGTATTCAGTGTACGGTGCTGTGTACTCACCCCTTCATTTGGATATGCCTCCCAGCCCAGGTCAGCCAGAGCGGACATAGAATCCAACAATGTAACTGCAAAAAACAGGAAGAGAACAAAGGCATAAGCAACCATGTAAACACTGTAATCATATTTAATTCTTCTTTTCTGCGGCCAGACTTTGTTATGAAAACTTATACAAGCGCTTTGTTTGTGATGTATGTGTGTAAGACAGCAGCAGAATTAGCAAACCTATAATTTTCACTTTTAGATTACAATAGCCGCAGCTGTTATGATCCAAGAGAACAAAAAGTCACACAAAATGGTCAAAGCAATAGATGATCATAAAATTTGCAGTTTTTCTTTTCACAGATACTCGAGACTACAGAGGTGAAACTAAAATAAAAATAATGTCAATCAAATAAAAGTGAAAGTACCTGAGAAAATTATGCACACTTAGCTATTATTTTTAGATTTTGCATTTTGTTTTGGCAAATTAATATCAACAGATAAAATTTTAATGATGAAAAAGCTCTGTGGACCCTCTGCAATCTGAAGCACACCACCAGGGGGAACTTCTGATTTAATGGATACAGCATTTACCCCGAAACCAATGCAGCAAGACTCTTTGCTTGATCTTTCTAAATGCCCATGACTTGACCTTTTGTTTAAGGTGAACATACACATGCATTGAATGTTTGTTGACTTACACTTGACCCTCACTTCCTGATATATGCCTCAAGTAAGAATAACACATTATTTGCTTTGTACTCCCATGCAGGCTCACATAAGGCAGTGTGACCCTCCATACGTGCCTGCACATGGGCTGCCCTGGCTGTCTCCTGCTGGCAGTGTGAGGGTGACAGGAGGAAGAGGAACAAGGAGACTGTGAGGAGGTGAAAATGAAAAGTCAGGAAGCAGCAGAGAGATGCTTCGGGCTGCAGGAGGCATACTGGGACAGCAGCTTGGAGAGAGGAGCAAAGGTTTCTGCACCTGTGTCTGTCCAAGAGTTGTTTTAGATTGGATCGGTCTGTGAGTGTAGATGATTTGGTGTTGGTGTTGTCACGATACTAAAATTTCAGACTCAATTTTGAAACCAAAAAAACTCATTGTTCATTTCAATTTTGAATACTGAATACTAGTATCAGTATAGATTAGCATCAGAGCATAGATTTTGAGCCAGACTGTTGCAGACTGCTCTTTAGTTTCTTCTATTAGAGATGTTGGGAAATGAGACACTCCTCAGACACTGAGGAGACTAACATCAACAGCATAAATAAAGGTTGACACGGCAACACTAGAGGCCGACAATTTTACATAGCTCAGCTTGTTTATTTTTAGGAAAAACAAGAGAAAAAACATTTTTTTAACATATTTTGTTACTCATACTTACACTGTGAGGAATTGGGTGCAACAAATGCCTCAGGACTAGAAAGGGATTTTATTCCTGTTTTTGTTTATTAGTAATAATATGTGTAGTGATTAGGGGAGTAACGGTACATAAAAATCACGGTTCGGTACATACCTCAGTTTTGAGGTCATGGTTCGGTTCATTTTCGGTACAGTATGGGAACAAAATGCAAAACCATTTGCTTGTTGTTTATTTGTGTGTTTATGAAACCAACTATTTGTTTTAAATTATACAAACGGGAAAATAAAATAAATGAGATTCTGTGCCAGCAAAGGACTGGGGAAACGACCATAAAGGATTCACATGGTTAGGCGGTGTAGTGGGGCAAATTGTTGTGCTAACTATAAAGTGCTATGGGAAACACTGCTACTCCAATCACGGACGTCCCTCGTGAATATTAAAGAACCAAGCCTTCCATGTAGCTGCACATGTAGTGGTGAAATGTAAACACTTACTTACTTAAATTGCGTGAATTATCTCGTGCACAGCTCTGCACCGAACCAAAGGCCCTATACCGAAACAGTTCAGCACAAATACATGTACCATTACACCCCTAGTAGTGATGGTATTACTTGTGGTTGTAGCTCTAGTCAGTTAAAGTTAAATTACAAAAAGTGTCTAAAATTTTAATCCAATCTAAATTCTTTCTTCCAGTCTTTCACTGGACTCTGAACTAAACTTTAGAGAACTGCCTGGTAAAACTAACCCTAGTCATCATTTTGTTCTAGTCTGAATAATTCATTTGAGAGTAACACTTTAACACCCACCACTTTAGAGCATGGCATATTTTATTGATCCCTTATTAGCCTTGTATATCTATGGGCATTTAAACCACTACACTTTCATATTCCATCCATTTTTTATGAGCTAACAGAAGCACCGACCCGGATAAGTGCAATGAAACCACCACACATTCCAATGAGACTAATCAATTAATAGAAAGCAGTTGAGAGTTGTATGTTTACAGTCACCTCTGGAGCTGAGCACTGCCTGCAGGTATTCACAACTAAAGCATAAACATTCAGCAGTCTCCTTCTCTCTCTCTGCCCCATATTTTTGTCTGTCTTTCTCATTCTCTGTGGTTACAAGTGAATATAGGCCCTCCACGGCTGTCTGCACCGTGATAGAGAGGGGCGACGTCATGCTGCATTAGGGTATGTTTGTGAGAATAATGGTATATGCCCAGATTGAATAATGCAAACAGGAAATACGGGGGGACATGTAGCACAACGAAAGGTCAGAGATAGAGCCAGTCATATAAGCGAGCGAACTCAGTCCATTGGCATTTGAGTGGCGTACACAAGCAGAACATAATAGCATAATAACATGATTTCAGGACGCCATGGAGAGCGGTAGTATTTTCAGATAAAAAGATAAAAGAGATTGCGTTTGTTGAATTAGGTAAATTGTCTGTCACGAACACAGCCCATTATGCTTTCATACTCTCGCTACCTGGGTAATTTTCCCACAGTGCTTTGCAACAATATTGAACAAAACATTCCATTCTCAGTGGCTTTAGTTTTGACATTTAAAAGTTCTGCCTGAGTGATACACAGCTACAGTGACTCATGTAAAACTGTTGAATAATCTATAAACACAAAAGCATGGTACATAGGGATAGCTGGGGACTAATTATTTTATTGTTGAAAACATGGAGATTGGCAGCTGAATTAAATTTAATGGACAATGGTGTAAAAGGGAAGCACAAACTAACAGTTTAAAGAACACATATTGCTTTAGTGCTTGAGCCTATATAGTTATAATTTACGACACCCATGAATCATTGTTATAATTTGCACATGTTGAATTGCATTATTCATCTAAATGAAAAGAAATAAGGCTGCTGACTTCCACATTAGGTTAGGTTTCCGCGGTGTCCAATGAAATGAAATGACTACGCAACTCTACTGAATCCTACATGTATCACAACTTAATAAAATAAAATTGGAAAACAATGTAAGTAGAAAATAGTGGGTGAAAAAGGGGTCAATCGCCAATATGCCCTCTTGAAAATAAGTGATTAAAGATTACTCAGACATGCACAAATCACTCCAAATGCAACTTTGAGAGGGGATATGAGAAGGGGAAATAACTGTAACATAACTAAAAGCTCTGAAAAGTCCATTTTGCATGATAAATCTGCTTTAAAGCATATATTGAAACAGATTAAGAAAACATGACATAAATGATTAAATGATTATATAATGCAATGTTTTGAACTCCTGTCGACATCTTTAATTCAAATGTAATTATACGACAATTAACGCAGTCTGAAAAGTTTGTCCTTCATTTCACAGAAACAAAGACATCAGTCAAGTGAATATTTGTGTGTGAAATTTTAGATTTTACATTTCAAGGTTTGGTTTAATAACACTCACCACTCTTTTAAGTGGCTCAGCACAGTGTTAAGAGCACAGCCTTACATTTCATTAGGACATAGTTTTAAAGCAGTTAGCCCTGAGTAAGGTGCTTCAATTTGCCTAAGTGAATCTTTGACTCCACTTTGTTACATCTAGGGTCCCAGAGTTTCTCATTAAAACACAGCTCCGTGTGCTACAGCAGCGGCCTATGCTAATGTGTGACTCAGGCCATTAGAGCTCCTGCCTGCTCCTGCCTGCTCCTGTCCAGTAGGTCTGCAGGGACACACCGGTGCAACCATAAACCTGTGCATCAACACTTTTTCTGCTCCCCTCACACCACCTGTCAATACCACTTATCACTTGTAATCAATGGACCACCTCATCCATAATGTATCAGCTATAGCTTCCTGTCTGCTTACCCGGACACTATTTGACAAATAAAGTTCACTCAAAACTACAGTTACTATGGTAATAATGTAAGCTTATGGTTCATCAATCGCAGAGGCAAGTCAAAGGTGTTTTGGACATGTTCCTCAAACTCAATCATAAGGCTTAGAGATATGGAAAAAATAAAACCAAAGATTAGCATTTTTTTTCCATCATATTGAATTTTCTTTTCCTTTTTTTTCTTTTTATCAGAAGTCCAAAGTTGGAAGTCCGCACCAAACAATATCATTTTCTTAACATAAGTTGGGCTGAAGACCCCCCCAACCCCCAAAAAACAAAACAACCAAAACAAAAAAACAAGCAGATCATTGACAGTTTAAAATGATCTCAACTTGACTTGATTAAAATTTGATCAGTCGCACAGAGCAACTCAGTCAATCATCAAATTTTTTCTTCATTTTGAAAGAAGACTTGATTAAAGTGACAACAAAAGATACTTTGTGAGATAGATAGATTAAAAAAATACATGAATCCCTTGCTCCCATCATGTGTGCTGATTAGTGGGAGACTTGTTGGGTTACACAGAGACACTGTCTTATTGATCCAGCTTCTCAGGTTCACATTTTCTGAGTGTAAGATGAGGAGCAGAGGAGGAAGGCCCTGCTTTTCCCCAGCACCATTCCTCCACCAGGGCTGTGAAAACTCAATCCGCTCAATAACATTTCTGCATCTCTTTGCCACCCCTTCCTCTCTTTTTTTGTCTTTCTTGTTTTCTATTTGCATAATGGCTTGTCTCTCGCTCACTTTTTCTCTCTTGTTGGTCAGCATCCACTTCTTGAGCAGTGAGAAGCTGTGATCCACCTGCCAACAATCAAACTGCGCTGCCAACAGCCGGACTGGCACACAAAGACGCTCCTAGAATACACACTCGCACAAT